GCGGTGCCGCACTTTCTTAATCTTAGTATTCGCAAAATGTTCGTTCACATGACTGAAGAATATCAAGTCCAATTGATTGAGGACTTGGGAAAATTTGATCAATTAGTTATTAATATTTAGTCAAGTGGAGTAGTTATAATTTTTTTGATTAAATTTTATTAGAAGTGTTTTTGACTCAAACTTGTGGTAACTTTTTAAAATTTCGTTATTCAATAATATTTAACTATTGATTTTTCTTGTAAATAGTTAGAAGTCAGTGATGTTTGTTAATTTTTATCTTAGTGTATTTAACTTCTAAGTTAATATTTACTCACTAATGTATTTTTTTCCCCCTACTTTATAGGTTATTTGTAAGAGTAGTTGAGAGATATGAGCATATCAAGTACAATTTATGTTTAATTTTTTTTATTAAATTAAAGTTAGATGAAACAATTACTTAAGTGGAGAACAAATAACTTTGTAATAATTTATTATGCGATTTTATAATTTTTGTTTATTTGATAAGATTGAATAAACAATTGGGGCTATTTTAATAGTTTTACAACTTATGGGACTTTTATGTTTATGAGAAAATATACAACACAAAAATTCCATATCGCATGTCCAAACAAACCTTCAATTTCATCTCATGATTCCATATCATGATACCATATCGCATGGCCAAACGAGCCCTTTAAACTCCCCTTGACATTCAAGTTCTTTTGAGATATCACCACTCAAAATAAAGTTCATTTGTGGTAAATTAATTTTTCAAACTTGAGCCTCAACACATATGCGTTTAGTAACATAGAGTTATAGTTTTTTTTTAAAAATAAAATAAAATAACAAAATACACATTAATTTTAGTTAAAAAATCATCAGTCAACAGACGAATAATTAAAAAATGCATGAAAATTGAGAAAAACTTTGACAATTCACGTAAAATTAAATAAAAATATGATCTTTTTTTAATTTAAAAAATAATTATTATCACTAATATGATTGTAAATAGATTAAGCTCATAGGAGTTGTTCATCGAGAAATTAGAACCTAGGGCTATGGAAATTGTGAAAAGCTTAATAATTCGCAAAAAGTTAAAGGAAAAATATGATTTTTAACCGCTTCATTGAA